ACACCGACCAGCTGCCTCTTGCATACCCCCTACCGGGGATGTGCCCACAACCAACGTACATGCCCCTGCCTGGAATCGAACCTGGGACCTTTCAGTCCACAGACCAACGCTCTACCACTGAGCCAAACCGGTTTCGGCTGTCCAAATATTTTTTTAAAAGTTCCTTCATCAACTGAACAAGTATTTATTAAAGACAGTAATATGTGCCAGGCCCTGTTCTCAGAACAGATTCTAAAGCAAGAAACAAAGCCAGAAAAAGCCCTGCTTGCATGGAGTCACACTCTAGTATTAGGGAGAGAGACAACAAAAGGATAAATAAATAAAAATCCCTTACTTCTTTCAGGTATGTTAGATTTTAAATGCTGAGGATACAAATGAAGAGGGAAGGAGATAGGGGGACTGTGTATGTGTATGAGGGGAGGGGTAAGCCAGGAATACCCTGATAATTGAGTTAAGACCCAAAGGAGAAAGTGAGCTATGCAAATATCTAGGGGAAAGAGAATTTAGGCAAAGGAAACAGCAATTTTTCAGTACAGTCACTGAAATTTTGGTCTATGTTTTGCTCATAAATCTTGGTCTGAGTCTTTGGTTGTTTCCTTAAATCCGGGGACTAACACATTAGGCCAAAAACCTTTTATTTTCAAGTAAAATCTTAACTGGAAGGGAAAATAAACAAAGCCTATAATAAAGGAGTGCTCAGAGATTGGAATGGATGGTGAGGCAGCTAAAACACCCTGTTGGCCTCGCCTTGAGATAACTGAGATGGCTCTCCTTATGAAAATGACTGAGTGAGAAACAATTCAGTAATTTAAAATTCTCTTTTTCGCTGCAATCAACAATGGGTTGACTGAATGTGATTCTTCTGGTGCAGGCAAACACAGAACGATAATACTGGGGCTTTTTTTTTTTTTTTTAAAGCATTCCATATCTAAGAAGAAATTCAAGCACCATAAATCCCTTACTTCTTTCAGAAAGACGCTAAGAGGCTAAATATGAACGGCCCATTTAACTCCATGTAATGCATGCAAGTGGTCAACGGATTTTAATGCCACCAGATGTGACAGGCAAGGAATAAGCTAGAGTTTTCATAAACCCGTTCGACCAGGGAAACTAAAATGTGGTTTTGGCTACATTAGTCTCATTTTCTGTTTCCCTATTTCACCAGCACTCCAACAGTCAATCTATTCACGAGGTAAGAGTGGAAAAAATGGTACCCCTATCATAAAGGGATTACAACGGTTTCATAGCAAATTCAATCACTGCTGCAGTATTATTTCTTAAAGTGTAACACCCTACCCATCTGTAAAAAGCAGCTAACTACAGTAATGCTAAAATAATACAATTAAGGCAAAAGATTCATAATCTTTTCTATAAGATTCAAATTAAACAAAATTTTAAATATTAGATACAAATAAAATGATTTGCAAAATTTTAAACTAAATATGGACTATAAGAGATAACAGGTCAGCCCTGGCCAGTGTTCTCAGTGGTCAGAACATACTGCAGGTTCAATCTTGGCCTGATAAGGGCGAGTGTGGAAGGCAATCAATCAATGTGTCTCTCTCAAATCAAAGTCTCTCTCTCTCTCCCCCCCCCCCTTTCTCCCTCCTTCCCTCCCTCTCCCATTGCCTCTATCTAAAACTCAATGGAAAACGATTTAAAAATAATCAAATTTTAAAAAGATAACCACTTCAGCACTAACATTTAATGATTCAGCTTTGTGAGGTTTTAAAAAACAATTAACTTTGCTAAAAATAAAACAGCTCTAGCTGATTTGGCTCAGTGGATAGAGCACTAGCCTGCAGACTGAAGGGTCCTAGGTTTGATTTCAATCAAGGGCACGGGCCCAGGTTACGGACTAGATCCCCAAGAAGGGGCATGCAGGAGGCAGCCAATCAATGATTCTCTCTTATCATTGATGTTTCTAGCTCTCCTTTTCTCTCTTCCTCTCTGAAATCAATATATAAATAAAAAAGTAAAACACAAAATTTGCCTCTATCCGGCTTCAATAAAAAAATGCTTTTGAAAATGTCAAACATTTAAAAACAATATTTAAAATAAGCAATATAAACTTAAAACAAACAAAATAAATTACACTGTGGTAAACAAAGTTACACATTGTAAACAAACAATATAAATTCTGAAATCTTAAACTGCTTAAACTTTGCCAGGCTGCAATATCCTGTATGGAATGTATCGAGCTTATAACTGCAGCTCGCTTTTAAAACAGGTGTACAAGAGAATGTCACTTGATCCAACGCCTCCTTGCTTTGGTAAGTGATACTGGCACTGAGGCCAAGAACTAGAATTAAGCTCTGACTGGGCTCATGAACTGACACAGTCTATTCAAGCTGCTTCAGCATCTGAGCACCAAGCAAATGTGCTGTGTTAGTTACTGTTGGAAGATCCTGACATGAAGTAATCCTGGGTCCTATTAATTTCCCAATAAATGAAGCATTAAAGCTTAATTAATAACAAGTGCTGGGATAATTCAGAGCCATAGAAAATCTAACAGGTGGGGAGCAATAAGCAATGGCCATTCATGTCATTAACATAATATATATTTATTTCACATGACAAGGAGATTGTGCATTAAAATCACATCCTGATCTAGCATTAAAACTGAAACCAAGGCAGGAAGGGTGGGGGGATGTAATTTCTCTCCTGGACTAAGTTTTTCAGATGTGCTGATGGTGGTGATTACAGGCTGCCTCAGAATGTGATAATCAGACAGCATGAATCAGCAACTGATATAGTTTGACTTTTTGTTACCCCATCCAATTACATGCTACAACAACACACACAAATAGCAGCGCCTCCTGCCTCCACAGAGGGTGTCTCTGCCCACCATGAGGTATCCCGAAATACCAGTCCACATAACCAAAGCACCGTACTTTAAGAAGCAATGTGACAAGTTAGAAATTTTTATTTCATTCATATTAAACCTAATATAACTAAAAAGTGTTTCATTTACTGGAGTAAAACAGTACCAAACTAAATTTTGTAATAGTTTAAGTATTTCTGCAAGGCAATAACCATAGATGTAGTACTTGTAGAAAAATGAGTCTATCTGAATTAATACTGCAGCCTGAACGATGAGTGGGCCTGCGTGCCCTGTTCCTGTCAAACATTCGCTGAGGGCCTCTGCGTGCCGGATACTGTGCTGGACTGTGGGAACCTCTGATTTCTCCTCTTCCCAGAGCCACTGCCACCGCTAACACTGCTCCTGGCTAATTCCTAGTAAGCAGGCACTGCTCGGTATGAAAAATACAAGCAGCTTACACAATATCATATGATGATTCCACTTCTGTAAATAACATTGGTCCTATGTTTGTTTTAAACGTGTGAATTAAAATACTAACAGTGGCTAGCTTAGGAAATGGAATTAGGGTGAATTTTTGCTTTCAGTTTTTCTATATTTTTGATATGCCACAATGAACATGGACTACCTTTAAAATATAAAAGCTATTTTATTTTTAATCGCTCATTATTTAAAAGTGGGTTCAGGAGCCGAAACCGGTTTGGCTCAGTGGATACAGCGTCGGCCTGCGGACTGGTCCCAGGTTCAATTCCGGTCAAGGACATGTACTTTCGTTGTGGGCACATCCCCTGAACGGGTTGTGCAGGAGGCAGCTGATCGATGATTCTATCTCATCGATGTTTCTAACTCTCTATCCCTCTCAATTCCTCTCTGTGAAAAATCAATAAAAAATATATTTAAAAAAAAGTGGGTTCAGGAGAAGTGCATTTATATTTGGTTCTTAAATAAGGTATTGAAGCTTCGTGGGCTCCCTTGGAAGCATTAATTAGATATGTGAACCGAAGCAATAATTACATAACAAAGGAAGGGAAAATACAAGTTAAGTCTCAACCTTAGAGAAACCATCATTTCCATTATTTCAAAACAGAATAAATTAAAAACAAGGGGGGGGGGGGGCATGGGAAGTCATTTCAACTGGTCATTTGCTACCACCAACAAAGCAACTCCCAAAGGCACCAGATCCTGCTGGTAGGATCCCTGCAGTCAACATTCACACCTAAACCTTGGAAATTTTGTGTGTGTGTGTGTGTGTGTGTGTATGTGTGTGTGTGTGTGTGTGTGTTTAAAATATATTTTATTGATTTTTTACAGAGAGAAAGAGAAAGTGAATAGAGAGTTAGAAACATTGATGAGAGAGAAACATCAATCAGTTGCCTCCTGCATAACCCCTACTGGGGATGTGCCAGCAACCAAGGTACATGCCCTTGACCAGAATCAAACCTGGGACCCTTGAGTCTGCAGGCCGACGCTCTATCCACTGAGCCAAACCGGTTTCGGCCCTCGGAACGTTTTAAAAGCCACTTATTAAGAAACGCTCAGAGTAATAAGTACCAGTACAGTGCACTCACTTAAGATCTCTGGGCCTTTTTTTCCTACGTAGAATTTAAAAGACAGTAAAATAAGATTTGGATAAAAATATTATAAAGAAGCAAGTTTTGATATAATCTAAAATTTAAAGCATTTATGTATATATAAACCTGAAGGTAATTATATCTTTCAGTGCTTAGGTCTTCAAAAACCCAATCTTTTTTCCTATAAGACTCAATGTTCTTTTTTTTTTTTATGTCACCAGTTATTTTTCAACTAAATGCACGTTCTCACTTTTATGATTTACAAAATAATGAAGTTCAGATAAATAATTTTCAGGGTCCCTCTGAGTCTTAACATTTTATCATTCCTTAAAAGGCCACATTAGTCATTATTTTTCCTTAGGAATAAATAACTGAAAAAAAAAACACAAAGGTATTTTTAGTCTTAATTTCAAACGCCCAGAATTACTTTTCACTACAATAAATTCTAACAAATTTATTCATATTTATCTACTTCAATAATAACATTTACATAGAAAAGAGACAAGAGTATTTTTTCTAATAATATTGTGAACCTTTCAGAAAATAAAATGTAAATAAAAATCAACGTTCTTATCGAGTACTCCGGAGAAATTCCAAAGACAACCAACCTGATGACCTGGTTGCAGTGGGCGCACATGGGAGTCCGTTTCCCTGCAGGGATGTGCTCCGCTCTCTGCACGAAGGTGTCCTGGTCGCCTGGCTGGGGCTGCCCCCCAGCGGAGTTGGCCGGGGCCACCGCTCCTGAGGAAGTGGAGCTATTTGAGATTCTTCCAGGGGAAGGTGCTAGGGGTCAAACACAGAAAAATCAGAATGAGAATGGGCCAAATATAAGCTTTCTCTAACATATAATAATAGTTCTTTTAAAAATAATCTACTCATTGTCTTATTCACTCACACACTCACTCACATTTAAGGAGATGTTACATACCAAACACTGGACTGTGATTACAGACATTAACAGAAATGAAAATTAAGGATTACAACACAAAGAGTTTCGAAAGACGCGTGCATAGCCATAGCATGTTGCAGGAAACAGAAATACTTCTGTATCCCGGAGGAGATAGTTAAGGTCCTGACAACCAGGTATTTCTAGTCATATATACATCTCTGCTAAGCATTAATTAGATTTCACTTGAACTATATATCACAGGCACATTAAAACTCTCGATGGGTTGAAAATAACACTTCTATGTTTTTATCTATATTCTTCTCTTTTATTCTCTAAGAAGACTGTGCAGTCACCCAGTCACATAAGGTAAAGGTCCTACGAAAAACCATCCTAGGACCTTCTTCTCCTTCATCTGTGGTTATAATGGGTTCTGTTCATTTTATTTCACAATAATTCTTAGTTTTGCTCTCTCATCTCTATTCCTATAACATTGTCCTGGTTTAGGTCCTCAACGTCTGCCACCTTTTTTGTCTTGTCCTCCACAAGTGATCCTCTCAATTGCCACTGAAGTCTTCAATCTGGCCTGATATGGACCCACTGGCAGGATTTCTCTGTCCTCTGAGTATCACCTCCCAATCACCGCAGGCAGGTTTCACTGGCGGTCTCTGCCTGGCCCGCCACGTCATTTTTCATGACTGCCTTTTAGTTGGTGCTACTGTAACACCTAACTGCCTCCCTTTTTCTTGTGAATGGGCCTTCACTGTTTTTTCTCTATGCTTCTTCCTCTTCACCTAGTAACTACAACTTATTAAGATTCAGCCCAAAAGCCAATTGTTCCAAAAATCCTCCTTGAATTATCTCTCCCTGCTGCCCCTTCCATGTTCGCATAGTTTTCTGTGAATTATTTTATTATTGCTTCTACTACACATATCTGTGTCTTTTGTTCTCCAACCAGCTAGTAAGGTCCCTGAAGGGAGGGACTATGTATTATTCATTACCCTCACATCCACTACAGTGCCTGGAATAAATAAACAAATAAAGGAATGAACAAATAAACTGGAACCAATACATAAGTGAATGAGTGCAAAACTGTAAAGACTGAAACCAACACAAGGCCAGCTTGTTACCCACAGGCAATTAAAATTAAAATGTAATGGAAGAGAAAAAAAACATATATATTAAAAGGGTTTAAAAGGAACAACTCTTAAGAAAACCATGCAGAGCCCTAACCGGTTTGCCTCAGTGGTTGAAGTATCAGCTAAGGACTGAAGGGTCTCGGGTTCAATTCTGGTCAAGGGCATGTACCTCAACTGCAGGCTCAATCACTGCCCGGGTCAGGGCATGAATGGAGTCAACCAATCGATGTGTCTCTCTCACACTGTTTCTCTCTCTGTCTCTCCCCCTCCTTTCCACTCTCTCTAAAAATCAATGGAAAAACATCTTCAGGTGAGGATTAACAAAAAAGGAAGGAAGGAAGGAAGGAAGGAAGGAAGGAAGGAAGGAAGGAAGGAAGGAAGGAAGGAAGGAAGGAAGGAAGGAAGGAAGGAAGGAAGGAAGGAAAAAGCATGCACAATACAAATTAATATAGTAGTGTATGTACATATACACGTGTGTGAATTGACAGGATCTATAGTAAAGGTGTGGTCAAAACTGGATGAGAACAATTAGGATAATAGAAAGGACAATTCTCCCTCCCAGAATAGAGCCTGTCAACAATGACATGCAAGGACAGAGCCAGAAGCCATGCGTTTATAAATACTTCGCACGTCTCCTGAGGAGCTCCGCCTGGCACTGGAGCTGTGAAATGGCACTTTGCAGGCCAGGGAACTCGACTCCTGCCCATGTTTTAAATGAGTCCACTGGACTAGGAATATGTGTTCATTCTCTTAAACTCACACTCTCTCTTCTAGAAACGGGAGAGAAAATTATTATAACAGTCACTGTGAACACTCTCTTCCTTGTGACCTCATTCACTCACACAGTGCAACTGGGGTTCTTCCATTGCTGTGTCCGGTCTGAGTTCTCTTGGAGCACCAGGTGAGCACTTCAATGCCCGATCTGGCCTTTACATTCAGGACATACAGTGTATTTCACCTTCTTGCCCACACTGCCAGCTCTTCCCGAGAACTCCTATGGTTTGAATTTTCCCACGTACTCAAACATGGCCTTCTGCTTCCCTGACACGGTCCCCAGAAGCAACAAAGGTTTCATTATAACTGTCTGCAAGGTCTGTCCCTTCTTATTAATCCGAACCCATCCTCTATCGCTTGAGTCCTGGTTTGAATCCCTCCAGCCCGGACCATTACAAATCTCCTAAGCAGTGTCTCTGCTGCACTCTCTTCTTCAATCTCTTCTGCTAAGTTCTTTTCCCAGATACCCTAGTCTGACCATATATTCTTTTTCAGAAAGCTTTTGTTAAGTCCCTGCTCCGCACTATATGCAGTCCTGATAGTCCAGCCTCTTAGCGAGTTCACTCCAAATCTTTCTTACAACCTGGTCTTTTATGATCACCCGTGTCCTTGTCATCATCATCATTCATTCTTGATTTTATTTTTTTAATATTTAACTTGTATTGGCACTATTCTCAAATCCTTACAACAGCCCTATGATTTGGGCATGATCAGTCCCTCTCTTTTACTCTGAGGTCAAACTCAGAACAAAAGGCAGTCCGAATCCAGGCGGTGGTCTGGCTTTGGAGTCTGTGCTCTTAACCTGTGCTCCAGTCTAGTCACTGTCCCCTGAACCTGCCATGCTATCCCCTGCTCCTATGGTCCCCAGCCAATGAAAGGGCCCTTTCTCCTCTGCGACTCAGTTTTTCCATTCTGCAAGGCCACGGATGTTCCATTTTTGTTCCCAGCATCCCCTGAGCACTCCAGCTAGAAGTGCTCTCTTGCTCCCCTTAATGTCTATCAACACCCTGCCTGTATAATTTATTTGTTATTCATCAGTAAGTCCTATTATGCCTTTTTCTTATTAATACAGTTACAAATGCTTAAAAGACAAACTATATATTCCTTTCTAGCCACTACCAGGAAACTGCCTTAAAGACTGAAGTAAAAAAAATTAATACTTAATCAAATAAATGGAAAAGGGAAGGTTCTGAATCACTTTCATTTTGCCTTGTGAAAAGGCCACTATAAAGAAAGAGGTTTTTAAAACATGTACTGGGTTCAAGATTTCAAACAGTGGGAAAGCTACCAATTGAAAAATCTGAAAACGAGACCTCAAAGAGAGTCCAACCCTTTCATCTACCATATGCCTTTATTTTATCACATTATCTATGCATAAGCCCTAAAGTCCCGAGTCACTGAGACAGTTTTAGCAATGAAAGCGCGTAGTAATTCTGCATCAGTCATTGTAAAAAGCGACATAACCCATCTGGCCCCTGCCTCCAGGAGAAGGTGCATGGGGAACTAACTTATTTAACATGAGAAGCCGTTCTTAAACTTGAAACATCTGACCATCTTAAGCGCATATAAAAAGGCTCCAAGCTCACTGCTGTTCCTTGCTGGTGAAGAAAGTCCCGCTTTCTGTGGCTGCCCCATTTTCGCCACGTTGGATAAGACCGAAGTTCTCACACCTCCGTTTTGTTGCCGTGTTGCTAGCACACTGGCCCGCACACAAAGCTACCCGAACCTGTTAATTACCAGGCCCCAAACATGCCCAAGCCCCAGTTATTTCCCATATGAATAAAGTGATGATGTTTCATTTCTTCAGATTGAATTTCTCACTACGCTTGCACAGGAATGGGCAGCTTTGGAGCCAGCCCGCGCCAGCCCGGCCTCTCCTCACTTGGCTTCCTGGGGACATGGAAGTGTGAAGAGGAGAGGCCTTGGGTGTGGGGAGACAGCACACAGGAGCCCTGCTTCCTTTAGGATTCTGAGGAGCACTGAGCTACCCTATAGGGCAAGCAGTCTTCTATGGTAACAGTGATAACACTACTTCAAATTTAGTGAACATGTTCTAAAAATCAACCAGTTTAAGGTAGAAAAAACAACAACAAACACATTTCTTTAGAATAGCAGCTTAAAGATGACAATCTACTTAGTTGTAATAAATGGGGTTTCTTTTCTTTTAAGTATTATAGTAGTAAAACTATTAAATAAGAACACGAATTAGCCCATCTCATAAGCTAAGGATCTAAGTCAGAAAAAACTTAAGTGACTTACACTAACTGAATAATGAATGGGTCCGTAAAGGGTCATAGTGGGAACCTTAGGGGGTTCTTGCCTCAAGGTTTCCTTTTTAACCTTCACCTTGAGCTACTTTTATTAAATTTGGCTTCTTTTGTGGCTAATCTCTATCCCATTAAGGTTCTTGTTTTTAAAATAATTTTTTTTTTCCTTTTGTATCAGATACACTTCAGCACCATAAAACTCATGTAGAAACTGAGAGCCACTAGCAACTTTCCAAACCAGTGTTGGTGAGAATACCTTCTATTCATTTTAGAATGGTTGAGTCTTCTAAAGTTTTGAATGACGTGCACTCATAATTAATCTATGCTTCTGTTTTTTAGCACTGACAGTCAAACCCAAAATTACAAAGATTATCATTAAATAAGTAAACATAAATTAGTGGGAACACCCAGCAGCACAATAGACTACTTTCTTAGTTTATAATATGTAAAGTTGTCAAATTAATTGACAAAATAACCACCTAAAAAAAAAAAAAAACTTAAGCAACAACAGATACTGCTCTTACTAGACACAGTGCTTTTTAATTGCTGAACATATTCAGTAGAACAAGTGAGGTGCTGGAACACGAACTGCTCACAATGCAAAAGATACATAACTTGATGACTTCTTACCAGCTCCACAGTACATCCTGGTCCAAGCCACTATCATCTTGTTTGATTTATTACAGTTACCACCTCTATTTTACTTCCACACTTGCC